GCACTTTGCTACCATCATTACATGACTTCCTTTTGTCTTTTTTACAAATATTTTCATGGCAATTTTTCTGATGAGCTTTCCTCCTTGGTGCTTTGACTGCATGAATTTAAGAGTACTACTAGATTGACAGCTGGCTCTTACCATTTTACTCTTGAACTAGCTAGATTCAACAGTCTGTTCTATTCTAATAGTTTTTTTTCTCCCACTTCTCACCTGTGGAACTCTTTCAGTTTCTTGTTTCCCTGTCACCTACAATGCTCAAAAATTTAAATGCAATGTCAATCGCCATCTTCTGTCTTCAGGAATCCTGTTCTTTTATCTAAAGTCTTATTTTCTTTCACCCCCCCCCATTTGCATCTTAGTGTTATTATCACCTTGCTTGGGCCAGAACTATTTAAAAAAAAAAAAAACTCTCAAAGATAATAAAAGGATGCACTGGAAAAATAGATTTTTATAAATAAAACTGAAGAAATATGATAATCAGTTTTGATTGTTGGTTTTCCATAAGTCAATGTGAATTTAAGTTATTCTTTTTATATACAAAGACTTTGAAGTTGCTAAGTGGTGGAAAAAATTTTGTGGAAGTTCATAAAGCTGTTTGTTTTATTGCATCCAAAATTAATATATAATGTAGTCTAGAGTGCACTGTAGTCTCATAGATTTTTTTTTTGTGAGGGCAAGATAGTTTGGCATTGTATCTCATTGCAATTTCTTCATTACGTGCATAGTAAATACTTCTTTGCTTCAGATGTGCAGCAACAAACTATGAACAGCTTGTCTGACCTTTTTTTTAAGGTCATCTCTTATTACAGCAGCTTTGCTCCCTCCTTCCAATTGTGACTTGTTTTGTTTTTACTGGTTGTTGGAGTTCACTTGGCCCAAAATTATATATGGTCTTAAGCCAGCAAAAGCAGTTAATAGTTTGCATGACACCTTTTTATTTATTTTTTTCTCTCTCTCCAGGTACTACTTGTAAATTCTCTTTGCAGATAAAGATTAAGTTATATTTATACCTTATACTTTTGTTTTTCTTTCTTTCTTCATTGATATAAATATGCATCAACTTTCTCTGTAAAACCAATGGCTTTTCTTGGCTAGAAAAGATTCTTTCAAAAAAAAAAACTAGGATTGATGTAGATATTTAAATGTATGCTGGCAAGCTTATTCTGTAGACACTATGGCAGCTTAAAATTATTTTGATATTAAAAAAAGAAAGAAAAAGAAACAGCTTCTTGTTGCTCTTTCAAGAAAAATAATTCTACTTTTGTGGTTGAAATGAGAGAAAGTATGGAAGCCTTTAAGGGACTAACCCATTATCTCTAGGGAAGTATTACACACTGATTTATTGTCTTATAATGTTTCAGCTGTTGTACCATACAAACTGCTTGAGGTATATGCATTTTTTTTAATCGTTTTACACAAGCAAGGCAATAAAGCCACTAGGACACAAAAGGTTACTGAATGTTTAGAGAATATGAGAAAAAGGAGAGGGGACAATAAAAAATAAGAAGACAGAAGATAACAATTGACATTATATTTAACTTTTTGAAGATCAAAGTTGACTGGGAAGAAGCTGGAAGAGTTATAGAAGAAACTGCTAGCATAGAACTTAAGGTTACATCTAGCCATTTCAACTGTGAAATGAGATCTTACTACCAAACAGTGCTTAAATTCTATGGGTTACTCAGGAAGATTTGTATCAGTAAAATTATCACAAAAAAAAAGAAAATTGTCATAATCTAAAAATATTTTCTCGCTTTAAATAATCTGCAAAGAGTTGATAAGCCATAGAAAACAAATCAGTCATTTAATCTTCTGTATTTTTGGTTGGGTAGCCAGCATTGTCTTTTGTTTTCTCTGCATTTTTAAAATTTAATTCTTGATGCGATGCAGATGATCTCGATAAGTTTTATACTAATTTTTCCAAGATAATTTTGATTTCTGAGGTATAGTGTAATAGATTTTTGTCTGAATTGCTGGGATTTCTTTACTAATATTCATCCAATATAAGTGCCACTCAAGGTAGAGGGTATTGTATTAGCACAAGAAAAGGCAAGATTACAGGAAAGATAGATAGCAAATTCTAGACTTGAAGAGGTTGATTTAATTAACAGGTAAAATTTCAGAGTTCAGGAGGAGACATCAGGAGACAAGGGATGACCCTCTACTTCTGTTTAAAAGACTGGGGAGGGGTGTGAACCAGATGATGGGCTAATTTATTTACTCTTAGTGGGAGAGGAAAAAAATTTTACTGAATAAAATTGCAGATATCAGACAGAGAGGTTAGAAGTACAGAGTAGAAGGAATTGGAAACATATTCGTAAGCAGGAAACATGGGTCAAACCTCTACTCCTGTTCAAGAGACTCTGGAGGAGAGTGGACCAGATAATAGGCAAACCTATCTACACCTATTGGATGAGGAGTTATCTTTATTATTATTATTATTAACTACTTGCGGACAGTTGTACTCTTCTTTGTTGTGGTTATCACAACATTTCGGCCATTGTGCCCTCTAGCCATCATCCAGCTGACATACACCTGATGAAAGTTGAAGGGCACAATGGTTGAAACACAGATTAATAACAGTCTGCATATAAATAGTGAAATATGTAGGGCCAGATTGTGCAAGAGGTTAGTATAGGCTGCAGCCTAGGCCCCCTCAACCTTGGTTATAATCTGTTCTCTTTCTTTTTACCTTTTCTTTTTTTTCCTTTTCTTTTTTTTCCTTTTCTTTTTTTTCCTTTTCTTTTTTTTTTTTTTTTTTTTTCTTTTTTTTCCTTTTCTTTTTTCCTTTTCTTTTTTCCTTTTTTTTTTTCTTTTCTTTTTTTCTTTTCTTTTTTCCTTTTCTTTTTTTTTTCTTTTTTCCTTTTCTTTTTTCCTTTTTTTTCCTTTTCTTTTTTTCCTTTTTTTTTTCCTTTTCTTTTTTCTTTTTCTTTTTTCCTTTTCTTTTTTCCTTTTCTTTTTTTCCTTTTTTTTTTTTTTTTCTTTTTTCCTTTTTTTCCTTTTTTTTTTTCCTTTTCTCTTTTTTTTCCTTTTCTTTCCTTTTTCTTTTTCCTTTTCTTTTTTCCTTTTTTTTTTTTTTTTTTTTTTTTCTTTTTTCTTTTTTTTTTTTTTTTTTTTCCTTTTTCTTTTTTTTTCCTTTTTCTTTTTTTTTCCTTTTTCTTTTTTTTTCCTTTTTCTTTTTTTTTCCTTTTTCTTTTTTTTTCCTTTTTCTTTTTTTTTCCTTTTTTTTTTTTTTTCTTTTTTTCTCCTTTTTTTTCTTTCTTTTTCCTTTTTTTTTTTTCTCCTTTTTTTTTTTTCTCCTTTTTTTTTTTTCTCCTTTTTTCTTTTTTCTCCTTTTTTTTTTTTTTCTCCTTTTTCTTTTTTTTCCTTTTTCTTTTTTTCTCCTTTTTTTTTCTTTTTTTTTTTTTCTCCTTTTTCTTTTTTTCTCCTTTTTTTTTTTTTCTTTTTTCTTTTTTTTCCTTTTTTTTTTTTTCTCCTTTTTTTTTCCTTTTTTCTTTTTTTTCTCCTTTTCTTTCTTTTCTTTTCCCTTTCTTTTTTTCCTTCTCCGTTTTAGTTGTGTTGAAATATCTGCTAATTCAATTTGCAACAAATAGTAAAATCATGGTATTTCTTCAAGAATATTTTTCACAAACAAACGATAAATATTATAGTTTATTTAAAGAATTCACACTAAGTTTACTTCAAACTATGCAGATGTCGCTAAAATATATCACAAGTAAAAAAAAAAAAAGAGAAAAAGAAAAAAAACGATATTTGAGATGGGAATGGGTGAGTTAGATGAACAGCACCATCTGAAGGGGGTGTGTGGGCATAATTTCATAATCTGGCCCTATGAGTGTGTGTCTTTTGTTAATGCTTGCTTCACTTAAGATACAACAATTTGATGAGATATAAATTAATAAAGTTCTCATTGTCAACTTAATGTCAGTTTAGAATTTCAAGGTAATTGTGCATCTGCATTTTGCAAATCTGCTTGCATGCTGATCTGCCACCTGGCATTTTCTGATTTTACAGAATTAAACTCTTGGCAACTGCAATTTAATCTATTATTTTATGAAATCTTCAATTACTTTCCACTACTGTTAAATGCAATGTGAAGTGGGTTATCTAAGAAGGTCACTTATGATGATGATATAGCAAGTCTTGATCATTGATGTTTAGTTTATATCATTTATCAATTAACCTGTCGATCACTTTTTCAATGACAGATCATTTAAAGGGGTGGGTGAGTTAATGTATAGACTTTTTGGACTGGCTGTATTATTCCTCTTTCTCTCTTGTATCTGTCTGTATACTTTGTGTTGGTAGTGAATTAGTAGACCAGAGTGTAAGTTAGTTGGGTACTTACTTGTGTTGACTTGCTTAATTTTGTTGAATTGCATATAGATAGATAGATACTTGTGCACTTCTCTCTCTCTCTCATGTACTCACTAACACAAAGTAAATGAGCAGTCTATATAGCTAATCTCAACTGTTAGAGATAATCACACACAAATCTTGTAATTTGTTGTTCTGCATATTTTGTGTATTGTATCTGTTTTTTGTATTGGTATCTCCGTGTGTGTGCGTGTGTATACTTGCTACTGCTATCATTGTTGGTTGGCTTTAGCTAGTGTCTAGGTGGCATTGCTTGTTCTAGCTTTGCCCCCTGACTCAACCATACTGCGTGTGTCCACCGAAGAAGCAGACGCTGAAACGATCTGTATATATATAAAAGAAAGAAAAAGAAATATGTGTTAAAAGTAATATTTTTCAATACACGAAAGTCTCTCTGCATTCATCTGGTTGATGTAAGTTACCTGTCTGACGTTCGAGTTGGCTTGGAAAAGCGTCTCGTGCGACTCTGCTTACAACAACAAAAAACAAGCAGCAGCAGCATCTTCTCACACACACACACACGCTAACAGTGTCTATTTCTCGCAGACCACCTCAGACATAATTATATATATATATATATATATACATACACACATTGCACCGAAACATATCTAACCATTATGGTGGCATTGTTCTGTAAAGACAATGCCACCAACACTAATAATTCAATTCCTGCTGCTTCTCATTCTCCTGCTGCTAAAATGACTACCATCAAGTCTCTTTTTGTGGACTGTTTACCTTTTTACAAATGGCATTACCAGCTTTTTGCACAGCGCAAATATGAATTGATGGTGAGTCTTTCTTTCTCTCTCTCTCTCTTTGGTTATGAACATTTCAAGGAATTTTCTAAAAGTCTAAATATCTTAGTTGTTTGTGTCTGAAGAATGATTTGTGTTGGACTCCTAGACAACAATTGAAAAAGTCTTTGATATTATTATTTTATATAGCCTACATAGAAATCATTCGGTTTCATTACTGAATGTTTTGTTTTGCTTATTATAAGTACAAAATGTCTTTAAAAAAAATAAATAGGGAGCTTAAAAAATTACCAATTCGCAATAATAGGCATTAATTTTTATTTTCTTTTTTGCTTGAAATTTTGTTTAATTTATTTCGTAATATCTACGACTTGGGTTGAGGGGCGGCAAGTGATGCCGAAATGAAACTAGATCTCCTCGCATACTAGTTAGTAGTAAAAATTTTAACTATAATGGAGAATTAAGTTGTCTGGAACATTCAAAAACCAGCAATGTTAGTTTGATTTCCCCGTCTAGTGTTGACAATTACTAAAAAAAAAAAAAAGTCAACCGTTATAATATAGAGCGTGTATTGGCACTACGTGACCCCTCTCCTTCCTCATGAGGCCAAACCCCACCACCTTCACCGACAATACTTGGATGACAACAACAACAGCAACAACTATCTAATCTCTTCTTCAAACAGGAGCTCCCCACCTGTTAGAAGCAATTACTTAACATCAGTCAGCAGCAGCTGTCCATCCAAGCAAGAATTGTGTTGCCGTCTGACTCGCCCTATTCCTTATACTGTCTCTGTTTATATTTACATGTGGACAACCCCCCACACATTAACCTTTGCTTTTTCCTCATTTATTTTAAGTACTCGTGTTTTCTTTTTTCTTTCTTTCCTGAAAATGGCATTCTTGTACATCCCCCCTCCCTCCCTTCTATCTTTGACGTATTTGATGCTAAATTATATGGCCTTCTGTTTTGGTCAACGTAGAAATAATTCTCTCTTCAAGTTCTCATCTTTCTATATTGTTTGTTGCTTATGGAATTGGTTTTATTTGCCTAGCATGAATTAATGCTTACAGCAACAGGTTCTCTTATTGAGGGTGGGGTTTAAGCAGTCACTAATCATTGTGATGAGAAGTCTGGGATAAAAAAAAAAAAAAAAAATTCTCTTTTTGATTGCGTAATTGTTCTAAATTCCTTTTGAGTTGGAAACAAAGACATTTCTAGCTGTTGTTTCAGATCAAATTCACTTTAACTATTGAATCAGGTGATGAGTAGTTGATGAATTCAATCTCAAATGAAGTGATCTCTGTTTTTAACCTACATAATTTTTCTAATCTTTGTCACTATTTTATTTATTATATTGCTCTTCAACCTTGCGAAAAAAAAACAAAAAACAAAAAAAAAAACAAACTAAAAAATAAACAGCTGAAAATGAGTGGGGTTGACAGTTTTCAAAGTTTGAAATACAATGTCATCGCAGCTGGGCTATGATGGCCTCTCATTGGTTCAAATGTAGTAGATTTTTTTTTTTGCTCTTTAATTCTAGTCTTGTTACTGTGACCAATAATCAGATTGTTTGGTTAGATAATTTCAAGCTTTTGTTTACCCCCCCCCCGCAATAATTGCAATGAGTAATGAACTTATTAGTGACTTTTGTTTGTAAAACATCTGCCTCTTGCTCTGGCTTTATGAAATTACCTACCATTATTGTTACAATGTATATAGGTGGCAACAAAAATGAGATAATCGGAATAAACTTTTAAAAAAAATTTTTTATGGATTTCTGTAAGACGACTGCATGACTCGTGCTTGAATATTTATTTTTATTGATTTTGTATGGAATTGAGCCATAATAATAAATATAGGCCTATTCAAATGAAATTAAAAAGGCCTGTTTCATTATTATTATTATTATTATTATTAGATTTAATTTAAATAATGCTGCCAGTATGACAGATTTATTTATTTTAACTAAATGTTGGATTTGGTTGCAAATGTTTTATTCTTTTGTGCAAGTAACGAAGGTTTTATTCTCATTCATGTGATTAACTACATGTTTTTCTTCACTTATAAAGTCTATCTGTATGAATTGTATTTTAAAATTTAATGTATAAAATAACACTTTGGGATGGATGTATCTTTGCAAGACAGAGAGAGGAGTGTTTTCTTACTTTTTTTTCATGATTATCTTGCAGAATTTTGCCTTAATCTAACCACAGTTCCAATACCTAAAAAAAAAAAGCCTTTCTGTATTTCTATCAAATTATTCTTTATATTCCTCCCTTCATTTTATTTTGTGTAAATTGTTGAATTTGAAACTAAAAAATGTTTCACAGTTCATCATAAATAAAATTCCTCAGAGACAAATTATTTGAAGCTATTTATTTAAAGGTTAAAAAAAAATTCCTATGATTCTTTTTTACAGAATTTTTCATTTGATACTTTACAAAAAGTGTGTGTGTGTGTGTGTGTGGGGGGGGCAATTATTTCCTATAAGTTGTTTGTATTTGTCAGTTGGAAAGCAATTTAGTATAAAGCAAATGAACTTTCCTTACTAATTGTACTGAATTTAGAAATTTTAAAAAGTTCATGTTTAAAATTAAGTGTTAAATCTAGACTAAATTTTCTCCAACCAAAAGTACTTTAGTTTTTTCACCTCCTCTTCAAGAGTGAAGAGTGTTTCTGTAAATGTACTGTTTTGTCGGGAATAACATTTAGCTTTAAGTGAATAATTAGATGATTATTTATTTTCATGTCAGACAGAAAATCTGTTAAGCCTCAAAGAGATATGTTTATATTTGCATTCTTTCTTTCTTTCCAGTCTTTGTGTGTGTGTGTGTCCACTTTTGCTACGGCTGTGGTTTTAGGTCAGGTATTTGATTAATCAGTGGTCACTGCTATAGAACCTGACAGGTAGATGCATAACTCAAAAACACCTGCAATATTATTATAATAGGACAGAGGATATAGTTGTCATTTTGATGGCCTTACTTTTGGATAAGGCATATTACGTTTAGGGGACTTCTTTTTTTTTCTTTTCCTTCATATTTTCTTTTTGGCAATATTGTCAAAGAATATCATCATAAAGAATATTCCCAATAACCAAGGAATCCATTTTTTTTTCCTTCAAAACAAAAATAGGTTGTAATGTTATGAATAATGATAATAAGAAACTAAATATTTTACCCCCCTCCCCTCCCTCAACTCTTGGACTTCATTGCTTCCATTACCATTTCTTCAGATGTCGATACTACTTGACTGCAGCATAGAACTCTGTAATTTTCTGGTTGATTCCTTCATATCTATGGACCATAATTCATCATCTCAATATTTTATATCAATAATTTCTCACTGAAATGTTCATTTTTTTTATTTTTTTTATTTATTCCATCTTTAAGTTTGTTGACACTATAATAAAAGGCTTATAGCCATATCATGTTGAAACATCGGCTACTGTATGATCACTGGGGTGATTGTTTGGGAAGGTAGTGTAATGGATAACTGCTTGGGATTGTTAATTGGAGAGCCAAGTTTCAATTCCACTTGGATTCATTATATTCAGTTATGTGCAAGTATCCTTGGAAAAGGTATGAATCCATCTCTTCTCCTCCTCCCAGCAATGGGTTAAATAGTAAAACTTGTATCACTAAATCATTATCTCAAAAAAAAAAAATTCTTCCAATGTAAAATTATTTTCTGGCTTTAAATAACCCTGCAAAGGGTTGATAAGCCATAGAAAATGAACAAATCAATCAACTGTGACAAAATGTCAATATTTGCTTTATTTGTATTTATTTTTATTTGTTTCTAACCAAAATACATTCTTTTTAATGTTGTTACTTAATACCTACTTTGTCAAGTTTTTATTTGCAAGTCTATTTTCACAATATAATTGGCCAACCAGTGGTGGCAAAATTTATAACTATATCCTGCAAATTTCTATCTTAATTTTTTATTTTTTTATTTTTATTAAAAATATTTACAGTGGTTTGTTTGGAGTGAGATTTTATTATGCATCAAGATGATGGTCATTTAACATCCTGTAAAGACATTGCTTTGCATAAGTATTCACCCACACATTGCTTTGCATAAGTATTCACCCACACCTTGAACTTTTACACATTTTGTAGTGTTATCAACTGGAATTCAGTTTGACCTAAATGGATTTTTTCCCTTTTGATCAACACAAAATGCACAGTGCTTTGAAGATGTAAAATAAATGTTACTGTGATACAAACAATAATTATGGTAACAAAGCAGTCATCTCTTGGATGCCTAAGTATTCTCCCCCCGTCTCCTTGAGTCAATACTTCGTTGCACCGACTTTTACTGCAATTACAGGTGTAGGACTTTTGGGGTTTGTCTTTGCCAGCTTTACACATTGGCTGATATTTTTACCAATTCTTCTTTGCAAAATATCTTAAGCTCGATTAGTTTTGGATAGAGACTCTCTGTGAACACCAAATTTCAAGATTTGTCACAGATTCTTGATTGGATTTATATCTGAGCTTTCACTGAGCCATTTTAACACATTAATATGCTTTGATCTAAACTATTCTATTATAACTTTGGCTGTATGTTTAGAGTCATTGTCCTGCTGGAAGGTGAACTTCTGCCTCTGTCTCAAGTACTTTGCAGACTGTAACAGGTTTTCTTTGAGGATTGCCCTGTATTTGATTCCATCTTTATTCCTATCAACCCTGACCAACTTCCCTGTCCCTGCTGAAGAAAAGAATCCCCATAGCATGATGTCACCATGTTTCATGGTGTGGATGGTATGCTAAAGGTTATGTGCACTTCTAGGTTTCTGCCATATATAGTGTTTTGCATTAAGGCCAAAAAGTTGAATTTTTGTTCTTATCTGACCAGAGTACCTTCTTCCTTATGTTTACTGTGTGGTCCACCTGGTAAATTGCAAATGAGACTTCTTATGGCTTTCTTCTTACCACTCTTCCATAAAGGCCAGAATTATGGAGTGTACAACTAATAGTTGTCTTGTGGTGAGATTCTTTCACTTGAGTAGTGGATCCTTGCTG